TGAACACTGTTATTATTTCCCCATCTAGCAAGAAGACACAAAGCGTAATCCCCGTTGCTGGATCTTGGTTATCTGCCCTGACCACAGCCGCACAAGTGTGTCATCTGCCGGGCAGACATGGAAAAAAAAACAACATAGAAAAAGAAATGCAGCGGATGGGAGAGTCTTTTTTGGGCAGCAGCTCAGTATCTGTCTGGCTCTGTCACTGCGTGTATGTTCTCTTTAATAGTGAAAGAGCTAATTATTCAATATTTTTTTAAGTGATGAAAGTGTTGTCAGGGCAAACGGAGAAGGCATTAAATTCATGGCATGTATGATGTCTTTGGCTAACTGAGTGGAATTGACAGTTTGGTTCTTGGGAGCCTCGGACTCAGACTTATTCACCACCCGTAGAGACAGAAAGAGAGAGAGAGACAGAGAGAGGAATGGCTGGGAGGGGTAATATAAAAGCACCGTTGGCAGAGTGCAAGGCAGACAGTGCCAAGGCATCTCTAACTTCATTTACAGACTCTTCTTGACATTATAAAAAAGCACAGCTCATTAAAGAAATATATAAAAGATAGATCTGGGAGCCCAAAAGCGTGAGTGATTGCTCTGTGTCGCACCCCAGACTCAAGACTGTGGCTTGGGTCGGTGTCAAATCAAAGATAGCATCAATAGACGTCGCTGTGAGTCGCCTGAAGCGTTCCTCAGGGTTCAAGCAAACAGATTTGGCTAAAAGTAACCATTCCTCGCAGTTTCACAGATTCACATTCAGTCATTTGAATGTGAATCTACATCCGGTAAACTTCTTGACAGGCTTTGCTGGAGGTGACGTTTGGCTGCAGGATGATGCACTTTCTCTCCAGTGCAGAGTTATGACTCACCTATGGTGACAGTAAGCCCTGACTCATCCTCAGACCTCGACCAGCTGCCCGAAAAAATCAAAGGAGCCGCGTAATGACATGATGATCTGTTCTAATCCTGACCTGGACTGTGGTTTTACGGGTCAGCGGCGAGCAGATTGTCGAGTCTGAGACGCCACTCTGGTTCTCATCAGGTGCTCAAGAGGAAATCAGCTTAGCTCATTACAGGCATTTCACTTTCTGCCCAGTGACACATTATTTTGATTCCACTTTCTATCTTCATAAAGGGGTTATTAGTTAAACTTAGTTATTTCTGCTATTTTTGACAATAACGTTTGACATTTACAAACATTTACAACTGCTTGGTGTTTTGACAAAATAATATTAACTCAAGGCCCACTTACCACCTTTTTCTGTAGCTTTCAACCACATGTCATGGTCTTCGTCAGTAGATGGAGTCGACTCCTCATCGTCACATGACCGGAGCATGATATGACTTGATAACAGGCGGTAGTATCTGGTCATGGAGCTCTAGAAAAACTACAGCTTTCTCTACTGGTGATCCTGGGAGCAGCCATCTTGGATTTTAAGGTTGGGGTTGGTGAGGTTTGGAAATCCGACTTAAGGGGGCGTTCCAGTTGAAATGTCCGACTTGGAACTGGGAAATTCTGCCATCCCATTTAAAATGGAACGCACAATATCTTTAACCTTCATAAAGAATAAGTACGTTTCTAAAAAGTGTCAAACTATTCCTTTAAATTCCTTCCTCTATTCTGTTGTTTTTTTATGGTCATGGGAACACTGTAAAGACTTAATTTTGGTTACATATGATTTTTGGTGTCCTAAGAATTGACACTTAGCTCAGAGTCACTTTGGATAAGACCACCAGCTAAAAGCCTGAAACATAAATGTCAAATAAAATGTGTGTTTGTGTGTTTATTTGTCTGCCTAATTCAGCCCAGCCCTTGGTTTGTGCAGCAGGGCCTGTCTTGTTTATTGTTGTGTGTTGCTAACAACAGCACCAGATGGTAATGATGATAGTCAACCTCTCTCCTCCGCAGTCTTCTTAACAGGTGTAACCTCAGTCTCTCTCTAATTTGTCGGCTCCCGCTTGTTTTCCCTCATTTTCACCAAGTTTTGTTAAAGCTAGTCAGGGCTTTTTTGTGTGTCTTTTTTTGCCCTCTTTTTGGTCCCCCTCCATTACCCCGCGGTGATGTTAAGTGAGCTAGTATTTTTGGACTTCCAGCATGACGCCAGAAAGCATGAGACTTCTTAGCTTTCCCCTTTGGCGGTCCGTGAAACCCCACTGTCAGTGAAGCCCAAAGGCAACAGCAAAGTGGACTGAGTGTTCAGTAGCAAAGAAGAAAAGCAAAAAAAATTGAAAAAACAAGGAATAAAGAATGAGAAAATAATAAAAGGTCCTCCATGATTTATTGCTGATTTATTGAGTCTTTGGCTCTGCTCTTGTTTTAAAAAATCCCAGTTTCAGATGTTTTAGGCACAGAGCTTTGGAAATAGAGTTTTTGTATGCAGTGGTGCATTTTCAAATTCTGGGGTCTGGGGTTCTCAAAGGCAGGGACTGGTGCCTAGTCCAAAGGGGGGCCCTGGGGATCAGGGTGGCCATATAGACCTTCTCCGCCTGGTGTGACCTCAGAAAACACTGTTTTGCATGTTCTGAACGGAGCATCTGGACAGTGGCCGCCTCACACACACTGGAAACACTTAAAGCTGTGGATGGAAAGACTCACACGCTGCACCTCACAGCCCACAGTGACTTCACAACACTCAAAGAGATACTTTTTCTTCCACATTTTGTTTGTCTTTGATGTCGCTGCTGTTGACCCGTTTGCTGCTGTCACCAGCCAATCTATATGCTGAGCACAGCAGCAGTAAACACTGAGCTAATATATTTCAGGGGAACAAAAACAACCCACAAAAACTGTGTAATTGGCCTGTAATTATGGAGCTCTGATTATGGAGAATGGTGCATATTTTTAATCAGGACCAATCTGCTTTCGAGCACTGGCAACAATCAAAGAGTAGATGGAGATAGAGTGCAGAGAGGATACCTTCATAGTCTTGGAAAATCTACTTGATCTAAATTTGAAAAATGGCAACAACAAAAAAACAGAGAATAAGAAAAAAGAGGAGAGGAAGTTATGTCAAGGGCTTTTAAAAACAGTTTCTTAAAATGTGAAAGAAGACATAGCAGAGTCACTCTTTATTAAAACATCGATTTGTTTTGGCTGGGGCTGCATGACAATGGTCAGTGTCCAGTACCTGGATCAGGGGGTATCACTGCAGCAAGGGGGGAATGAGTGGAGGAAAGAGGGATCTGAGGAATATCAATAAAGGCAAAGGGACTTGCTGATAAAGCAAGATAAAGACCGAGGGAAAGATAGGACAGCGGGGAGTTTGTGGCCAGAGGAGACTGTGGAGGATTTTGTTGGAACGCTTTGATGCGCTAAAATCTCGTCCTGTGGTTTGTACTTCTGGGTTATCATGTCCTCATCTCCCTTTCACACGTGTGCACACATTCCTATCTTTGTCTGTCTAAGAACCATCAACAGAGGAAAACTGTGGAGAGTGAAGTCTATCTCTCTCCGTGGAATACACCTATTACAGAACGAACGGGAAAACTACAGGAAATTTCGTAATCGGGCCCTTATTAACCTCACGCCTTACAAACTGTCAGCATGGGTCACGCTACATGGGAACATTTTTGGAAAACAAGGGAGGAACAGAGCAAGGAGTTGGGAATAATTAGGCGCTTATGGCAGCCTGCAAAAGCCTGAACACTGGATCCAGATCTTTGGAAAGTTTGGAAAAGGCTTTGGCGAGGTTAGAGGTGACAAAGCAGAACGGTAAAATCTTGTGTGTGTTTTCTCTGACGCCGGAGGAGTTTGGCTCTCCGTCTCTGTGGCTGTCTACGGCGACGCTAAACCCCAAACACTGTGTCCTCGCACAACCTTTTCCAGTCCGTTCTAACAATCATGGGAATGAAATTCCAGCGAAAGTGAAGGGTGCAGATTTTCATTAGCAGGAGTGAATGCTCAGGAACGCCTGTCGACTGCTGTATTGCGGTGACGGTGGCGCAAGGACGGGCTCATTAAAACAGCAGTTCAGGTTTAGACATTTGCTTTACGGGGGAATGTGGTGTGGTGGGTGCAGGAGACTGGTCGTCCCTTGGTGGCGTGTTTGTGATGGGACATCTGGGAGGGCAAAGGATGTAGCTAAGACTATTTGGTACCGTTGGACTAAAGGGAAATTTCAAGAGAATTTGCCCTCTTTTGAACCTTCTTAAGTCAGCTAGTCATCTATACCTAGTCAAGATTGAACTCCTTAAAAGCTCACAGGGCCTTAACTGTTTGTTTAGTTAACTTAAAGAGAGCGCCTTGAGGCTGCACAGCAAGGAAATCCAGATGGTCTGCTCTCTTTTAACGCCAAGCCTGTGTCATCATTTTCACTGCTGGGCAAAACTTACCTAAATCTGGACCCAAGACAGAAGACAGGTTCAGCACAAGCACACAAACACACACACACACACACACACTGACGTGCACATGGTCTTTCTCTCCGAGCGAACAGCGAGCTGAAGTAAACACGCTGGTTGCCCTGAAGAGAAGTTTGGTTTCATTGTTTAATGACTTTGCTATTTCCCACTAATGTTTTACATATGAGATAGAGATTGCTCCCATTTGAAGGGGGAAAAAAGAGAGCAGACATCCATCTTTCTCTCACTGACTCACTTGCTGCCTTTTCATTCCCACTCAAATCCTTCACGCTCAGTCATTTTCAATCTGATTTCCTCAGACAACTCAATTAGGTTGGCCGGGGCCCATTTGTTTTCGAACTAAATATTAGAGAATGGAGTTTATGAGTCATAAGAAACATCTTTCAACTCGATCCTGTTAGTCACCTTGTTTCTTGATGGCTTCTTGAAAAACGTCCTTTTTGTCCAGAATCTGAGCAAAGAGAGAAAACAGAGCAACACATGTTTGCACAGGACAGGGTGTACACACATACAGACCTCACACACAACCATGCATACCCCATACACCTCCTGAGCCTGCGTGTTTTTGTCTTTCAATAAATCCTCATTGACCCCAGAGAACTCTGCAAAATTAACCCTTTTTTTTCTTCTTGTACTTTCAGAAACCGCAGACCATGGATCAAGTAAATGTGACAAGTGAGTGGACTTTTACTTACCTCTCCTCCCAGATGAAATCCCTGTATTTTCATTCATTACAAGCTGACCTCTAACTCCCCACTCTCTCTGTTCTTTCGTGTGCATTTTTGCATGTTCCTCTGATCAGCAGTGGCAGCGGTGGCGTCGGAGCTGCGCAGAAGGAGAAGGTGAAGGGCAAAGACGAGACGTATTGGAGGGAGATCAACGCCGCCATGGCCTTGACCAACTTGGCGCAGGGGAAGGACAGTGTCTCCGGGACCACCAGCTGCATCATCCAGAAGTCCTCCCATATAGCAGAGATCAAGACTGTTAAAGTGCCTCTGATGCAGAAATATTAGCCCTGACGTCGTCCTCAAATCTCTCTATGCAAACCAGAAACATTCCTGTTTCAGCAAACTTGCTGGAGTCCAAATAAACTCCCCTTGAAATGAAAAGAGAACTGCGCGGAACAAAGAGAACTCTCAGTCTTTTTGGTTGTTCTTACTTTCTTAAAAAGTGTAAAAGAGGCCTTGAACATCATTATCTTTGCTGGGTTGATGTGCGACAGACAAGTGCGACAAGTGTTGATGATAATTTCACTGCAGTATTTCCTAAAACAAGACACTTTTGTAATGTTAACTTATTTTTGATGACTCTGATTTTTTTTTTTTATTTCTTCTTTTTTTAATGCTACGAAATTTGTATTTTGCCAAAGTGCCTTTTGTTATTTAGACAAATAACTCACCGACTGTGGTCAATGCAAAGTACAGATGCTGAGGTGCCTCTTTCAAATTTGTGAAGGAATATTTGACCAAGTTTAGAGTCACAAGTCATGATCCAGCATTTGTTTTGTGAATGAAAACTCCCCACAACAGCCTGTGCCTTAAGGACTGAATGAGCTCACCATTTGAGGCCCTGGTGAACTCAAATAGCATGCACACAAACACATACACACTCTCTTAGACAATACTCAGCTCTAATTCCTTGAAGGCATTGTTCTTGTTATGACTGGAGTCTTCATTTTGACTGTAAAAGGAACACTGTTTTGTCTCAGTCGACCTCTCAGTGCTGGCAGGCCAACAATAACTGTCGGATACGCAGATAAATTGCCCTAATGTGAGCAGCAGATCGATAAGCAGCCAGTGTTCTCCACCTTGTCCACGTCTCGGCCTTGGATTTCACAAACCAGCGAAGGATTCCTTTCTTATCGTGGCTTTTAGTTGCTGAAACGTGCACAAATGCTCAGCTGGACCCAAATGAAGTCACGTTCCCCCAGCAGTGACACAGATGTACGTAGATCTACAGGCATGCTTTAAGGTTCAGTGCAGTATCTGTTCTAACAGAAGAATGTCATGACCTAAAAGGGATGTTTTTGCTTTGCATTATCAGCGTTTTATGTGGACAGTATTGGCTTTTCACATGTTTGTGCTCAGAACAAGATAGTCCGGAGAAAAGCCGCCACCAGCTCCCCCAGCCTTTTGATCCTCAGCCCCCTCAGCTGTTTAACATTACATTCAAATTGCTGTTTACAAGAAGCCAGTGGATAGATTTAAAAGTTTGACTTACTCCCCTCGCTTTTTTTTTTTTTTTTTTTTTGGTTTGTCTTCAAAACTACATTCCAGTATTATCTATTTGTCGGCCAAGCTAATGTTCAAAGTATTTGTTATTGTCAATCTGTACATGTGTGGTTGTTTTGTTTTTGATGTTTTGTACTTGGTTTCAGTTAACTGCACCAAATTAAGAGTTTCTTTTTGTCATCCAATGGAAAGAATCTCCTCTATAGAAAGTACCTATGTACGGTGCATATGTTAGAAACGTTTGCGGTGAACGATGCCGAGTTCACAAACTGGGGGCAAATCAAGATGGACTTGTGGGAGAAGCTGAAGTTGGCTCTCTATGCTGACTTTTTAATTTTGTGTATATCTTCAAGGTACTGTTTATGTGTGTCAAAATGTACACTCCTTCATAAATTGTGCAGTTTTCATTTTTTCGACAGACCTGGACTGTGGTCGAGGACCTTAAGAGGGAGGGAAGCTGTGCAAAGTGACTTTTTGACCTTTTTTATGTGTCTTGAATGTGCAAACTGTTAAAAAAAAGCTGCACTTACAATTCTTGGTTTTCAATCAGAAAACACACAGCCTCCACTGAGAACCTATGGATGGGTGTGTTTTTACATAAAGGTGAAGAGAAGTAAAATAAATTAAGGACAAACCTATATAATTTCTACTAGCGTGCCTATGGAAGTACAATGAAATCAATCGCACTAACCAATCCCCAGGCACTATTTGCTTATGCGTGGGGGTTCTGGGCTCCCACATGTGTTTTTTATACACCTGATCCAGGCAGGGTAGCTGCGGGGTAGTGCTGGGCCAGCTCCTTGTGTTTCTAATCGCACCTCTGAACCTCGGGACCACTCGTGACCCTCACACCTCACACGATACCCACTCACTGGGAAGAGAAAGAGTGAGGAAAGGAGGCTTCAGAGACTACAGAGCAGCCTTTGTTGTTCCTACCTGCACTCCCTCCCCAACAATGACACTATGAGTACTAACAAAAGGGTTTCTATGGCCAAGACATTGGTACTGTACATGCCTTTCTCCAGCACAAGCCCTGCTTTCACAACCATGCTGACAAATGGAAAGCTATGGTATGTATTAAAGCCTATAAATTATTATTACAGACTTTGTAAAGACGAAGAAAGTGGTGACCATAGTTTGTTTTTTTATTGTTAAGTTATATAAATTGAGATTTTTGTTTTGTTTTGATAGAGACTGGATTTTCAATCCAATGACCAAATGCATCTCTCCTTGTATTGTCCGAGTTGCTCTCATGTAATATTTCTTTTATAAAAACAGTTGTTTCTTGGTCACAGCAATGAATAAACCTCTGAATGAAATGAAGAGCTTTGTGTGTTTCATTCATTTTTTTTCTGGTTCATTTCTCTGTTTTTGGCCACTTGGAGGCAGCAAAAGAAGCTGTACGCACAACATGTTATCACCTTAATGGCTGACATGTTAGCAAAAAATTGCGTTTTTATACATCTCCTAGATACGGAGCAACATTAGCACTGATTTGGAGTTGTGTTTTTTGTCCACCTGACAAATGTATGTCCAGCATTCACTCTTTTGAGGTTTTGTCTTTCTTCTTAGAAAAATATCTAAGGCTCTATAGCTGCTAAATGCTCCACTGTGTTCACTAGATAGTTGCTAACTGTGTCTGTCGGCTATTTGGTGCTGGTCAAGTAGTGTACAGTGGGGTTGTCAGAGCTTTTTCACTGAACAAAGGTGTTTAGTGCAACTGGAAAGAGGGTTGATGAGAGCGGTGAGACTGAACCAAAACAGTCTGCAGGAACTGCTGCGTTGGGAGATAATATTCTATGGATTTGTCATTACAAGCAAACCCTTTCACACCAGTTCAACTTTAAAGAAAAATATCACACATTTTACTTTAGCCTCAGATTATATGCGGGGTGTCAGTTTTTCATTTAAAAGGAGAAGGAAAGAACAACTTGCAAAGACAAATACAAATTTTGGCTTGCAATTTTAATTTTCTTTTGTTCATGTCACCAGGCTAAAGTCTTAATTCTAAGCCACTGCTCAACACTGATCGCAATAATGGAGATGTTTGTTTATGACACACAAGGCGGGGTGGTTTTTATAGGCTAAACAAACTAATCATGACAAACCATTGGAGGAGCTGAATGTATACACCCGTGATCTGCCTCAACCACACACTTCACATTAGTGGTTTGAGCCCCAGCATTTGCTCTGTCTCCTGTGTATTTTTGCTACCTTTAGAAGGATGTTGGGTGTTTCACTTTATTTGTTTGACCCAGGATCAGATAGAAATCTGTCTTTCAGGAGTTCAAGGGGGCAGCAGCATGAGATAAACTGCTTTAAATAAAGAAACACTTGTGGTATTGTGAATCCTGTACGATAGAGTCAATAGACAACCAAGCCTCTCTCTTTCCTTCTCTTTCCTGTATATTAATGGCTCTACCATGCCACCGTTAGTCCTGAACCTGAGCTCTGCCACAGAGCTGATGCCAAGACCCTTCTTACGTCAGATAAGACAGAATGAGAAAGATACTGAAGGAGAAAACAAGACTGCAAGAAGTAATTTGAGATACAGGAATAAAGATGTTGACAGCAGCTGTTCCAGAGCCTGTAGCAGCGAACGCCACAAGCTGTAAACGCTGCCCAGTGTTGGAAGGCCCTGCGTCCAGTGGTGCCAGTGTCAGTCAGGACCAGACATAGCCTGATTTGCCGCTGGTTTTCATGTGGATCAGTTGCCTCTGGACGTCAGCGTGGCCCTGTGAGATAGCTCACTTTGACACTTCCTGAAATAATCCTATCAGTTTAGTTGACCTCTCATCCCTTGCTGCACTGGGCCAGCCAAACCCCACCTTCGCTGAGCCACATTTTCCATTGAGAAACTAAGTGATATTCCATGCTGTGTATAGCTTCTTTCCTTTTTTTTTCACCCATGCCTTCTCTCTGTGCTGCTGACAGATTTGAAAGGAGTCGTGGAACTGCACAGTTATCTCGGTGCAGGAGACGGACAAGTGGAGATCTCGCTTGGCGCGGGCCACGACTTGACAGACTCCAGACATCACCTTGGCCATTTAGTCCGCCAGAAACTCTACTTCACTGACAGCGGGCAAAACCACATGGAATGAAATCCGAGAAGGCAGACGTTCTGAAAATCATTTCCCATTTGATGAGGAAATATGACTCCCGTGGCATGCTGAAGTAATTAGTTACCTTGCTGTGAAGGATGCTCCGTGGAGCCCCTGTTCATTAAAGCCAGGACTTTGTCTTTTGCTAACTCCTGCCCTTGGACACAAATATGAGAAAAATTGCCAGGCCTAATTGTTAGATTCCTGAAAGAATTGACTGATTAAAAACTTGGTCCGGCCTTGCAATCATTTTGGGACCAGGGCTGTTTTGGATCAGCTGTAACTTCACGGATGTTTGAGGAGGTGATGCATGCAGGCCACTACTCAGATCACGGACACTGTGTGAACCAGAGCTAATCACATGGCAGACAAAGGTTCAAGGAAGTGTTATTACTTTGCAGACAAATTACACCCTGAAATTAGCATATTTTCCCGAAGGGCGCATTTATAGTTGAGTTTGCATGATACTGGGAACTTCCACTGGATGATACTAGGAAACATTAGCTAACACTGAAGAGGAACTACAGTGCACAGTGCTTACACCGATTACTGGCTAAATGAATTACTTTAATGAAGGAGGTATGCGCTGGCAACAATGTGTGATTTCAGCATTAGTTCTGATTTCAGGATTTCCAAGATTTAATATTTTTGAAACACTTCCTCATACATGTGTTCAGAATAAAGAAAACCTTTTGATCCACACTCTTCTCACTCTAGATAGTACTTTAGTTTAGACATTTTTGTCTTGTATTAAATTCCTTGATGTATCATTTCCTCAAATCCTCCATTCCTTTTGCCTTCTTGATGCCTTTATTGTATTAAAGCCAAATGTTTCAGCTCTTCCTCTGTACCCAGCTCTGTTGCGAGGCGGTTTCTGAGTCTCCTCCGTGCTGAGCTAACCTAAGGCAGTTGAAAAATATTTCCTGTCTTCATTTCTCATAACAAATGTCTTCAGAAACCACCAGAATCAAAGAGGGAGAGAGCTATGCTTACACGGAACCGCAAGTAAACGCTGCGTTTGGCCAAATGAGGACATGCCGGGTGTTATTCCAGGTGGACATCATCTCTGTTTTGTTTTTTGAGAGGGTCTGGGTCTGAGATGGGGAAAAATGTGACACATGCCAGTTTTAAACAAAAAGGGTCAATTGCGCTTGTAAGAACAGACTGTGGAGGCATGCACATTGTTCTGACCTGAGAGCACTGAGAAATGGATAAATGTAGATGGTTTAGATAGACTTTGAGTTGCCAGAGTAAACCGCTCTCAGAGAAAGGGAGACACACTTTTTATAAAATGGAACAGGAATGGGTCCTGGGGGCAAGGTAATGCAGGAAATCTGCTTCAATACCTGGTGTCAGGTTTTCATAAATTTCATCAAATGCAGTTGCAAGCCACAAGACAACGTATACACAAACTCCAACCACGCAAAACATTTCTTCCTCCTCGCTTTAAACCGCAACACAACAGGTCTCATGTTCACTGCTGTTGTTCAGAGGTTAGTCTGATCCTTTTCTATTTGCCTCCAACATCCAAATAGGCCCGCCATGCACAGCCACATGCAGCTGATCTCCCTGTTTATTTATTTGAGGATAATGTCTGTGAATTTCCTCCCTGGATCCCATATCTTAGTCACTCCAAGAGTCACACACACACACACACACACACACACACACACACACACACACAGTAACATCAACAGAATAGGGCTTGACAAAGGCAGTTTAGCTGCCTGCACCTCAGCTGTTTCCTAACAGCCTAAGTCCTTGTAATTGGCCATTCTGTGAGCTCCTGAGACAGAGCGACTAAACAGCTGCTACAAACAATGAAACCCCTTCCAGAGGTGCTGTGGGTCCAAGCCAGTGTACGGCTGCCAACATGGGATCAAGAGGAAGAAGAAGAACTTGTGGAGAGCAGAATGATATGCAAGCTGAGGGCTGAGGACGGGTGCTTTCACTTCAATTGGTGCAAACAAAAGTTAAAATGACATATCTATTTTCGTATACACGTCAAATCCCCCTATGGTAGTTAGCATCTTGGTATTTCAGTGCATGAAATTACCCTATTTCAGTCAGACATGGTTTCTGTTCCTCTCTGCATTTTCTGACCACCTCAACTGTCACCACCTATAAAGGCTAAAAATGATGGAAAGATAAATGCTAAAAAAATATTCAGTTTATTTTTGTGACTTTTTAAAACTTGTAATATACTGGATTTGGAATCACTTTTGGGCCTATAAAAATCCTACAAATACTACCATAGTATTAACTAAAGCTGAAACCTGTGATGAGTAGTTACAAGAAGACATTGCTTTAAGTGTAAAAGCTTGGGAACCACTGGCCAAGGCCTTAGTATAGCAGAAGTCATTTTGGGAAACGGATGATCTACTGTTCTAAGAGACTTGGTGTGCAGACAAAGGTCATGGTCATAATGTTTTAAATATTTTAGTACAAAAAGGTATTATTTTTGCATTATATTGCAGTCTTATTTCAGCTCCTGTGAATGAACGTGGGGTGTTGCCAGTCCCTGAGTCAGCATCATTTAAAAATAACTTTCATGGCAGCACTAGATGCCATGATTGCATGATTGTTGTTTTCGCATTCTGTGGTGTCACCAGCAGAGCCACTCTGCCCTCCAAAGTTCATCTTCCACAGCTGATAGGACTGCCCGTTTGGTGTGGGGTTTGCCCTCAACCAGGCACTGAAATGCTGGGTTTGGGCTGATGGATTGGGCTGTTAAGGAAAGTACAATCTTCCAAGGTTTGCAATTTGCACAGACAGTGCCTCATTGAGGTGGCTGTATCATGCCTTCACATTCCCAGGCCCAGTTAAAAAGAAAAGGAGAAAGGAGTAGCAACTCAAGTTCCCATGAAGCATTTATAAATGGTGTGTAAACAGGCAATAATATTTTACATACTTCAGCATGGAAGTTCATTCTAGACAAAATAAAATAAAATAATCTCCACTCAATGTCAACTTACCAGCTTTTTGCAGCTTTCAACTGCCTCTCACATATCGTAATCATTTGCACTCTTAACTGTTTATTCATACACTACAAGTAGTGTAAACTATTAATACATGCGTTATAAAAGGCTTTTAAATGTTAACAATAAGGTAATAATAGTACAAGGGTGTTATATGTTTACCTTCCTATAATCTAATTCACTAAAAAAATGTTCTTTTTTCTTGCCTGATTAAACCTGCATTAATTCATTTGTGTTGGGCTAT